AAAAGGGAAATGGGAAAGAGCTATTATATTAGTACCTTTCTCAAGATAATTTTAAAAGTAATTCAGTTTTAAGGAAATATAAAACTATAGATTGAGATTTAGAAATTGATTTCCTTAAAACTGTCCATAACTGTTTATCCTTTAGAAAGTTGTTGTGTATTGGGGCTGAGGCTTTAGCTCAGCAGTAGCACACTTGGCTGGCATGTGCGAGGCACTGGGTTCAATTCTCAGTACCACATGTAAATAAAAAATAAAGGTTTATCAATAACTAATATATATATGTGTGTGTGTGTGTGTGTGTGTATATATATATATATTTTATATATAAAATAAAGTTTAAAAAGTTGTTGTGTATCCCAGGAGTTTACATATCCTAAGATTTTGAATGGCTTGTGGTAATAAGAAGGTCTGTATGGATCCTTACTTTAAACCAATTTCTATTTCTATTGGAAAAAGTTTGTAATTCTGATGGAATTAGGAAAGACCTTTTATTTTTGTTCATAGTGTCTTGATATGCTTTTTTTTTTTTTTAAACAGAATAATCTCTTTGCCTTTTGGCTTTGGTCTTGAATAGTTTCACTGGTCCTCTATAAAAAGACTTATGTCTTGAATTTGAGCTATTATCTCCACGGATATTGCCTTTCTACATTATTCTTTTGGGGATTCTTAGTAGACAGCAGACTATTGTTTTTTTCATATTCTTTATCCTGTGTTTTAAGTTTAATAGAAAAAAAAGATAATAAACAAGAAGAACATAACTTTCATATTCTAGGTAATGTTCTTGGTTCTTTTTTCCAAATCACTCATTCTTATCTTCAGCTGTCTCTAATCTGCTGTTTAATCTGCCCTTTGATTTCTTTTATTTTCTTTATTCCCCCCACCCCCAACTACTGAGGACTGAATCTAGAGCTATAGCCCCAGACCTTTTTTCTTTTTTAATTTTGAGACGGGGTCCCTAAGTTGCCAAGGCTGGCCTTGATTTTGCAATCTTCCTATCTCAGCCTTTCTTTTTTTACATTTCAATGACATTTATCATTTGTAGAACTTCTGTTGGTTCTTTTTCAAAATCACGTGTTTTTTTTTCTCTTGGTATTTAGTGCTTTCTTTACTGTTTTAAGTTTTTGTTTGTTTGTTTTGTTTTTTAAAACCTTTTTTTTTTTTTTTTTTTTTAGTTGTAGTTGGACACAGTATCTTTATTTTTATGTGGTGCTGAGGATCAAACCTAGTGCCTCAACATGTGTGAGGAGGGCGCTCTACCAATGAGCTACAGCCCCAGCCCCAGCCTAAGTTTTTTTTTTTTTTTTTAAGTTGTTGATAGACTTTTTTAAAAATATATTTATATGTGGTGCTGAGAATCAAACCCAGTGCCTCACACATGCAGGCAAGTGCAGGCAAGTGCGTTACCACTGAGCCACAGTCCCAGCCCTATTTTTATTTCAGTTTTGGGATTTAAATGTTTTTAAACATTTTTTTTTTAAAGAGAGAGTGAGAAAGAGTGAGAGAGAGGGAGAGAGAGAGAGAATTTTAATATTTATTTTTTTAGTATTTGACAGACACAACATCTTTATGTGGTGCTGAGGATCGAACCCAGGCCGCATGCATGCCAGGCAAGCGCGCTACCGCTTGAGCCACATCCCCAGCCCCTGTTTTTAAACATTTTTAATGCCAGTAATCTTTTAATATCTTTTAGGGCTCTCTTATTGATCTGAAATTATTATGTGTTAAATTTCCTGAGCATCTGTTCTCTCCTAAAATTAACTATGTGATGATTTTTTGCACTTTTAGTAATTTCAATGAAATATTTATTCATACAGTAAATTTATTTTTTATTTTTTTTTATTGTTTTGATACCAGGGATTTAACTCCGGGGCACTCGACCACTGAGCCATATCCCCAGCCCTGTTTTATATTTTATTTAGAGACAGGGTTTCACTTTTGTTGAGGCTGGCTTTGAACTCACGATCCTCCTGCCTGAGCCTCCCTAGCTGCTGGGATTTCAGGCGTGCAGGGATTACAAGTGTGCACCACTACACCTGGCTAGTAAATACATTTTGAACACAATGTTCTTGGTGCTAGCAAATAGATAAGTTTATTTTTCTTGTGGAACTTATTTTCTAGTGATTGGTTATGCATTAGTTACATAATGATTGATGTTATTATTTAGGGATTGGCAAATGGAAGGTTTATGAGTTGAATATGGCCTGCAAATTTTGTTCCTTAAGCTAGAGTGGTTTTTACATTTTTAAATGCTTTAAAAAAATCAAAGGATACTATTTCACAACAAGTAAATATATAAAATTGAAATTGGTGTCCATAAAGTAAAATTTTACTGGAAAACAACCATACTCATTTATATATTGTATTAACTACTTTTTATATTATAACAAAAGATTTGAATATTTGGACAGATTTTATATAAAATATCAGATTCTAAGTCTGTTGACAACTATCCACTTTTATAGAGTTTTGTGACATTTTATATGAAACTATGTAATTCATATAATGCATGGCACTAGCATTATATCTTCCCTAATGGCTACATTTTGTTAACATTATTAAATGTAGTTATTTAATAGTTTTTCTTTGTTAATGTGTAACTGACCTCAGTGAGGCCTGTGTTTTAGTTGGCTTTCTAGAAATGTGATTGTTTTGTGCTAATCCATCTGTTTTATAGCGCTCTTGCTTTTTTTTTTTTTTTTTTCCCTTTTTGCTTTTGCATTACCGGGGATTGAACCCAGGGGTGCTCTACCACTGAGTACATCACCATCCCTTTTAATTTTTTATTTTGAGATGAGGCCTCGTGAAGTTGCTGAGGCTGGCTTTCAGCTTGTGATCCTCTGCCTCAGCCCAAGCTGCTGGGATTACAGTTGTGCGCCATTGTGCCTGGCTTTTAATTTTTATTTTGAGACAAGGTCTTGCTAAATTGCTCAGGCTGGCCTAGTTTGTGATCCTCTTGATTCAGCCACTTTAGTAGCTAAGATTATAGGCAAATGCTACCACATTTGGCTGAATGTATCATTTTGATTTTGTTAATAGTTATGCTCTAATTTGTAAGATAATCAGCCATAAATGGCTCCATTTTACTTCTTTATGTCTTATTTTCTCACCAATAATCTGAGGTAGCTTACCAAATTAAGAGTTCAAATAAAGTGATGGAAAATAAAAACTTTTAGGAAAAGTTAAATGTGGCAGGTATCTAAAATAGTTTATGTGTAGTGTTTTAATTCAGCAATTATCTCTTGAGTTTTTGTGCAGTTAGAATTATGTGATAAGACAGGCTTTACAAATTTACATTCTGTGATTCTATTTTAAAGTGATTTCTTTTTCTTGGTGCTCTATTCCAAGTATGACAGATGGTAGGAAACTTTTTTCTAAGGGAATTTGACAATACAATAAAAGATCTTTTTTTTTTTTAAATGAGATACATAGTTATCCGACAAAGCTAAAATTACTGGTTGTTTTCTTGTTAACTAAAATTACATAACCTATAAGCACTGTATAGGCAACAAAATTGGAAAAGGAAGAATTTTTAAGATCCTTTGCTTATGATGGTGGAGTTTGTGTTGTCTATAGCTGTCCTTTAGCTAGGGCTTTTTATGAGAGATACTTCTTGAGGTACTGTGGGTTTCTATATAAATACTTAGGGGAAAATCAAGATACTATCTTATGTTTTCTTTTTTTAATTTTTTATTGATTTTATTTCTTTTAAAATACACGACAGCAGTGGAATGCATTACAATTCTTATTACATATATAGAGCACAATTTTTCATATATCTGTATATAAAGTATGTTCACGCCAATTCATGCCTCTATACATGTACTTTGGTTTTTTTTCTTTGCATTACAATTCTTAATACACATATATACCACAGTTTTTCATATCTCTGTTTGTATATACAGTATGTTGACACCCAATTCAAGTCTTCATACATGTACTTTGTATAATGATGTCCATCACATTCTGCCACTATCTTATGTTTTCTTGAAGAAATGTAAAAAAGAAAATAAAAGATTGTTTCAAAAATGAAATTAAGTCAGTGCGGTAGCACACACCTGTAATCCCAGCATCTCAAGAGGCTGAGACAAGAGGATTGCAAGTTCAAAGATGGCCCAAGTAACTTAGTGAGACCCTCTCTCAAAATAAAAAATAAAAAGGGTTGGAGATGTGGCTCAGGGCCTCTTGAGTTCAAGCCATGGCACCAAAAAAAAAGAAAAATTAAACTGCTTGGTATGGTGGCACTCACCTCTAAGTCCCAGCTATTCAGGAGGCTCAGGCTAGCATGGGTAACATAGAAGAGATCCTGTCTTAAAAAATAACAACAAATGAAATTAAAGTGCATAAGAATGATTCAGAATGTTATTTTGGGAAAATTATCACTAAGAATTTAGGACCTTTTAGCCATAAATTGTTGGAAAACAGCTTTTAAGTGTCTTGTAAAATGACTATAACCAAGGTTGGTGTCTTCAATGAGAGCTTAAGGAAGGCCATTATGTTATACTGATCTCCCCAAGGTGATTATAATATGTTTATGCTAACATTTGCATCCATGAAGGTATAAAGACATTATCTAAATTTCTGTGTTAAGCAAAAATCCTTACAGAAAAGCCTAAGTTAAATTGACTATTGATTGCCACATTTGGCAGTACTGTCCTTTGGATAGCAACAAGACTTGTTAAGCATAGGAATTATTTTATCTTTTTCTCTCTGGAGAAAGCTATTCTAAGATCCACTATCCTCATTTTTTTCAACTATCTTTGGAGAGATTTACAGAAGAGAAAATATACTCCCCTTTCCTAAAAATATGCACTGTTTTTAGGGGAAAGTACTGTAATTGAATTACTCTAAGGTTTATGCTACTGCTGTTGCCATCTCCCTATCCCCAATAACATTTTTACTTATTTTTTTTAACAAATTTTTTAAAATATTTATTGATAAATTTTATTTTTATTAACTCTTTATGTTTATTAACTCTTTAATATTTATGGATCTTTTTACAGTTAAATCGACCATCTGAAACTGTTGCTGCTAGTTCTGATGATTTCATCTTGAAGACATATGTAAGACGAAATAAGACTGAAAGTTTTAAAACTTTGAAAGGCAACCCAATTGGACTTAACATGTTGAACAACAATAAGAAATTGAGGTATAAGCACCTCACCCCAGTACCCTACATAAAACATAAAGGGTTTAACACCAAAAGATAACTATCTTTTAACTATAAAACTACCCTGTACCTTTTCTTTTGAATTTGTCAGTAGGTCAAGATATACGATGGTCTTAATGTGTAGATTCTTTGCTTTGAATCTCTGGGGTAGGGTTGATTGCAGTGATTTCTTGATTCTGAATAGAACACTGCAAAAAACATTTCAATAGGCAGTCATCTGATGTGTTTATTTTGATTTAGTTAGTGGAATTTCAGTGATAATATTAGAAATAGAAGGCATTGTAAGGTGGGATGATCATAATGTCTTTTAAGATATTCTAATTAAGATTGTCTCAACAAGGGAATTTTTTTTCTCTTATAGATTTCTTATTCCTCTTCCAGATATAACCCAACTTTCATAGCACTTATAGTGAACCACTGTTACTGATTAGGATTGGACTATCAGTAACAAACCATAAGTGGGGTTAAAAAATTGCTCTCCTCTATCACTTTATAAATAGCTGAGATCCATAAAGGTGAAGTAACTTTCAACTTAGTGGCAGAATCAGAAATAAAATTTAGGATTCTGGATTTCCGTTCTAGTGTTCTATTTGTTATTTTTCCCCTGAAACTGTATGGGAAACATTAAAAAAAAAAAAAACTTCCAAGGGACAATTTTGTACAGTTAATTGAGCTTATCTATAAATTTTTTAAATGGTAAAGATTTTATTGTGTATACTTAGATTTTAGAAGAATTTATTTTGTCATTGTGTATGTAATTTTTCTCTTGTTTAGATTATTTTTGTTTCTTAAATTTTGCAGTGAAAATACACAAAATGCATCATTATGTTCTGGAACTGTAGTTCATGGTAGACGTTTTCATCATGCTCATGCACAGATACCAGTAGTAAAAACAGCAGCCCAAAGGTAAGGATTCTAATTCTATTTATCTTTAACAGGAGTTGTTTTTTTGTTAAACAAACTTTTTTTTTTCCTTTGTGGAGAGAAAAAGAGGTAGATCTCTGAAATAATTTATGACCTGAAATTTTCTTATTTTATTTCTGTTTTTGAAATAATCACATTTTATAAATAGAGAATTTTAAAATACAAGTCACTGTATTGCATTACAATTCAATATCTAAGAGATATTTAAATTAAACTGATTTATGATATTGACCATACAGTGTTTGACTAATAAATGCTCAGTTTTTGGTAGTTGAGCTCTGGAGAGTAAAACTATAGCTATTACTTTATTTGCTTTGTAAGGTTTCATAGTAATAAAACAAATTATGCTATTTTTTAAATGTTTGAGATAATCTTGATTTTAATAGATTTAGGAGTTCTCATTGATCTTGAAAGTCCGGCTTCAACATTGAAATAATGAAAGCAATAGTTGAGGAAAGCCTGGTATGCTTTTGAGGTTTTTCAGAATGATTTTTGAAATGTTAACATCCCTTTCATTTGATTCTAGCGGTTAAATAGTGTACTGCATTACATTATAAGTAGTCTTTTATAGCTGATAAAATTTAAAGACACATTTTAAATGCTATTTTTTGTTTTTAAAAATGAAATTCTAGGCTGGTACTCATTTAAAAAATGTGTCTGGAACCTTAGGATTCCTTCTTATATATATTCCATGTTTATATAGATTTAAAAACCTTAAATCTCTCATAATTTTTTTTACTTAAATGTGTTATCAGAGTATCACATAAGATACTTGATAAGTTCAATTAAGATAAATTAATGTACATACCAAAAATTGGCTTTCCCTAATGCAAAGTACACAAACTCTTTACCTACATGTGGGACAAACATGAAAATGTGATAAAAGAGTAATTGTGGCAAGGGAAGAAGAGGAAACACATGCCCACACACTGATCACACTAATAGAAACTGTTATTGATTAAAAAACTATATTCTTGATATTATGAAAATCTGGTCTAAGTGGAATTACTAATTTAAAATTTATTTTATTTTTTATAGTGCTGAGGATTGAACCCAGGGCCTTGTACATGCAAGGCAAGCACTACCAACTGAGTATATCCCAGCCCTAATTTAAAATTTATAATCACATTGATTATATTTTACAGCTTAAAATATTAAATTATTATTGCTTTTGAAGTTATCAGTTTGGTATTATTTACACCATGACCTATTCTCCTTCCTTTATGTCCTCATTGGAATGTTTGAAAGATGATTATAGTCTGGAAATTGGGTTGTGTTTCATTTTATTCTTTTTTTAATATTTATTTTTTTGTTGTAGGTGGACATAATATCTTTATTTCATTTTTATGTGGTGCTGAGGATAGAATCCAGCACCTCATGTGCTCACTAGGCAAGCACTCTACTACTGAGCCACCACCCAAGTCCCTTATTCTTAATCTTTTTTTTTTTTTTTTAACTTTATTTTTGGGGTTTGAGGGTACCAGGGATTAACCTCAGGGGCACTTGATACTGAGCCACATCTCTAGCCCTATTTTGTATTTTATTTAGAGACAGGACTGAGTTGCTTAGTGCCTCACTTTTGCTGAGGCTGACTCTGAACTCGTGATCCTTCTGCCTCAGCCTCTCAAGCCACTGAGTTATGGGGGTGCTCCACTATGCCTGGCTTAACTTTATTTTTTTTATGTGATGCTGAGGATTGAACCCAGTGATTCATGTGCTAGGCAAGTGCTCTACCATTGAGCCACATCCCCAGCCCCCATTTTATTCTTAATTTTGACACCTATTCTACCTTGCATATGTATCATTCCTCATCTTTGTAAATCATTAGATTCATTTTATAAGAACTAGTGCTTAGTAATAAAATATTGTTCCTTCAAAAACAGCAACAACCTAAATTAATTTCAAAGAAACGATCAAAAGAAAACAATCCTGAGTGAAAATATTTGACAAGAGTGATTAGGAACAGTAAAGAAAACATTTAGAGTCAAGTAAGCAGAACAGATTCTACTTAATGTTTTTCTTTTATTTATTCTGTATAAGAATAAACATGTCTTATTCCAACTGCAGTGTGACTATCATTGAAAAGATTTTTGAGGTTCAAAGACAGTCATTAAGAATTTTTCCAATTTTCTTTAAGATGAATATTAAAAAAACACTAATTTTATGCAATAGACATAAGTAAGAAACATATTCAAAGATATGACCGAGTTCTTGCCCTTGAAGTTCAAATTTAATTAGAGCAAATGATAGAAAGACAAAGAAATGGTTACCTAAGTGCCTTAGTAGAGAAGTACAAAGTATTTGTAATAATATTATAAAGCACGGGAAAAGTCACGAAGGAGGAGGTATTACAGGTACTTTTGAGTATACCAGATAGAATCACATCTTCAAAGTGTGAAGAAAACTTTGCTTAAAATGATTGGCAACAAGCAGTTGGCACAATTATCAGGCCTCAAATGAGGGTAAACACAGGGTTTTAAAGATAGCTTCTCCTAAAATTTATTTTTTTCAGGTCTTAATTTGAATTTTCAAGAAATGCCCTTTTCAAGAAATGCTTGTAATTCACAGACAGATTGTTTTTCACACACACGCAAACACACACACATGCATATTTAAGATTTTTCTAGTGTAGGACTTTATAATAAACACATTAAAGCTTTTTAAAAAATGCCATGACTTGATTGTTAGACATCATAGTAGATTTATTTTTCCCAATAAGAAAAGTGAACATGCACATATACACACTTATACTCTCATGTCCATTTTTCTTAAATATGTATATGTGTGTATATATATATATATATATTTTTGTTGTTGTTGTTGTTTTGTTTTGTTTTTTCCTCTTCCTAACTAACTTGGTTTATTGGGAAGAATCAAACCTAGGTTTCTTTTGTTTCTATTCTGTATTGTCTTCTTTCCTGTGTACAGGTGAGTTTAAAAAAAAGCAAAATGAGAGTACTAAGCTCTTCTCATTTCGGCTCAACAGTGTGAAGTTGGAGATGACTAGATTAGGTATTAATGCCTAACTTTTGGTTTTTATTTTGCTTTTCCTAGAAATATAACTCCATATGTAGGGTAAAACAGGCTGTATTTAAACTTATATATTTTGCTTCACTTATTTTAATAGGAATGTGATGAATTTGCCTCATTTTTTTGTCATTTGTCCAAAATAGTTTTATATGTTTTTTAAATAGCAGGGGTAAAATTTCAAATGTGTTATGTAAGTTTATGATTTTTTATTGTTGAAAAAGATTTTGTTTCTTTTGAGTGTGTTTGTATACAAATAAGTTACCATATATTTTCCCATAATTTTCTGGAATTAAATTATTTTATGTGCTCCACATGAATATAAGAGTTAGTGTGGGAATTTTGGGATTTTACAAACTGTGCTTTGCTTACAGTTAGTTTTTTATTTAGTTGTTTTCATAATAAAGATAAATAATTACAGGATGTCAATCTTGTATAGATTAATTTTTAAGTGAAGTTTCTTTTTTGAGCTTCTAGGAACTGTGGAGAAATGTGGAGTTTTTATACATAGTACTTATGATAAGAGGGCATGATTTTATTTTTTTAAATTTATTTTTTAGTTTTAGGTGGACACAACATCTTTATTTTATTCTTTTTATGTGGTGCTGAGGATTGAACCAGTTCCTCACGCATGCCAGGGGAGCACGCTACCACTTGAGCCATATCCCAGCCCAGGGCATGATTTTAAATCCCAGACCTTTTTTTTTAAAAAAAGAAATTTTTTTAAATTAATTAATTTATTTAATTTAGTTGTAGTTGGACACAATACCTTTATTTATTTTCATGTGGTGCTAAGGATCGAACCCAGGGCCTTGCACATGCTAGGCGAGTGCTCTACCGCTGAGCCACAACCCCAACCCATAATCTCAGACTTTTTTATCATGTCTCAAATACTGTGCAGCCTCAATTTTTTTTCTTTCTCGAAAGCAAATATTCATACCTGATAATAGAATGACTAAAAATTTTGTAACTTTAAGGAAATGTTGCTATTCTTGGAAACTCTATAACTGTCCTAAAATTCTTAAAATAATGAGTATCTTCAAATGTTTGATAAAGTCCTTTCAATAATTTATTTTCATATTTGTGTATATCCATCTTTCTTGTTAAGAACATAAGAAGATTGTTTAAATTATTTTGGGTATTAACAAGAAATGAAAAATAGCTTGGATAACACTTACAACATAGTACTTAATATACATAAAATGCCTTTAAAACAAATTGATCACAATATAGTTTTGCCTTATTGACTGCAGTTAATGCAACTACAATGATAAATCAACAATGAGGTCTTGCCTCTTACATTTTTTTTCTTTTTCATGTTTTAAGCAATCCGGACCGAAAAGAAAGGTAAGCTTGATATTGTTGAAATTAGAGCATGGATATAGCAGTAAAATATCAGACTTTTAATATGCTTTGAAAAATATCCATTGAATTAGAGTTCATCATTAAAGTATATTATTAATTTTTTTTTTTTTTTTTTTTTTTGTTATTCTGGGAACCAAACCTAGGGCCTCATGCATGCTAGGCAGGTGTTTTGCCACTGAGCTATATTCCCTGTCTTTAAAAAGTATTAATTTTAATAGAAGGAAACCTGTTTATAGTACAACATATTATTTGGCTTACATGGGTTCGGCATAATTTACAGTAACCATTTTTCCATGAATGGTTATTACATATATATGATGATGTGTCCTACTTTTCTTTAAAAATAGAATATTTCAGTACTTCGGTAGTAAAGTTGCTTTCAGTTTTATTATCAAATTCTTTCATGTTATAATTCAGTGATAATGATCCTGCTTTTATACTTTTCTATAGTAAACTAGGGACAACTTAAACTTGGAGTTAGAACCTCAAACAGCAAATGTTTTCTATTCTAATAAAAAAATTTGTAATAGAATTTTATGTTCAACTTTCTATCAGTATTTGTTTCCTTTGTAAGAACTGTGGTGGCCACATAGAGAAATATGAATAATATAAAGGACATGGGAAAACGTTTTCAAGAATACACATTTCTTTGAATAATGAAATGATCATAATCATTCTAAAGCAAGTGTCCCTAAAAGTAATTTCTCTCCCCTGTGATGAGAAAACTTTTTGTGTATGTGCATATCTTTTTCAAATGTTCATGAGATTCTCAAAAAAGTTTTTTGTGAACCCTGCCTTCGGACCTTCCAAACAGGTTAAAAGCCCTTATATTGAAGCAATACTTTTATATAATTGGTGAGTGTGAAAAGGAAAATTATATAATTTGATCTATAATTTCACCTGTATAATTAAAAAAAATATGTAGAGAAGGTAAAAAGAAATCTGGAATATTATATAAAATTTATTATATCTTTATGAACATTGAGTACCAGGAATACTTATTTTTTGTTTTGTTTTGTGTTGCTTGGGATCAAATCTAGGGCCTCATGCATCCTGGTTATAGCATTCTGTGACTGAGCACATCATCAGCCTGAATTTCTTTCTTTCTTTTTGTGGTATTTGTGATCAAAGCCAGGGCCTCACACTTGTTAGGCAAGTGCTTACCACTGACCTATATTCCCAGCCTGCTCAGAAATACAAATTTAATGATAATCCTTCCAGTAAAAAAGATTTAAACATAATTCTGAACTATTTTACACGTGTTGTGTGTTTTAAATGAATGGGCTATGAAAATATTTTATCACCTATTTCCTAGGAAAGAGACACTTTCCCATCAGTTTTTTCCTGTTTGAGTAAATTATTACTTCTAGATACAGGTGAATCCTTTGTATCTTTTAAATGTTTTACTCATAAGTGACTGCTTTTTTAGTAAGACCATTAATATTTTTGGTAAAATTGTTAGAGTTATACTTTAAATAGCTCTTCATACAATCACACATTTAGAACAGACATTTGTTTTGTCCAAATAAGTATTCTTCCCTTCATGCCATTGTAATTGAAATGCGGGTGCTGTTATATTATCAGAATAATAGAAAGATCTTAGGTTTTTTTTTTTTTTACAGTAGCCCTGTAGGGTTGATGCTAATTGTTTTCTACTGCTTTGACTTACACATAATTTTTGTAATGAGAGCTTCATTTCATGATATATTTTAGCAAATATTTAAATGCCTTTATGTGTCAGGCACTCTTCTTGGAGTTGACAAAAATCCCTACTCTCTTGTAGCTTACATTCTTATCAGTATAATGCTAGAATAGGAGTTAGAAGATCAACAAATAAGCAGTATAGCTGTAGGCTTATTAATTGCTATAAATGGTTAATTTTAAAGTTTTGTTGGGAATAAATGAGATAATTATTTAAAATTGATTTTATACACTGTAATAAATGGAAAATTTTTGAGTACTAATAATAATAGGTGTTAATTCTTTTAATCCTTTGTTGCTAAGATTACCTCTAAGGACTAAAGCTCTTGAAAACTAGATGTGAAGCAGAAACTGTTTATGAAAGTCCTTGTAACAAATATACCTCAGTGCTTTACATGGCAACTTATTTACTGTTAGGGTGAATTTAGTACATAATCCTTTGGATCCTTACATAAAATTATTTTGTTAAACAAAAGAATGTTTGCGTTATCAGATTTTGTTTTGTTAATTTTTTTTAGTTGTTGATAGACTGTTTTTTAAAAAATTTGTATGCGTTGCTGAGAATCGAACCCAGTGCCTCACACGTGCTAGGCAAGTGCTCTACCTCTGAGCTATAGCCCCAAGCCCAATCACTTTGTTAATTTTTTGTTCACATAGCCGTTTCCTCCCTTTTACGAATAGTAAGCCACATTTTTACCCCCTGATGTGTTAGGAATAATAGTTTTCTTAGCTTTATTCTTTACTACTTAAGGAACTATAAATCTCTGAAATAAATCAATATTCATAAGACAGTGGTTTATCTAATAAAAGTCAGGTAGTTGTAAAAGCTTAATCTCTCCCTGGTTTTTTCTACTTTTACTATTTGCTGGGCACATTGAGATATGTTATAATCTTAAAACTAAGATACAGTAAACAAATTAATTAACAGTATTAAGCTCCAGAGATTTAGCCTTTAAAGAAAAGAAAAAGAAATTGCTACCAGTTTTTCTACATTGTGGGTAACTTTGACAACTTGAATAAAACAAAGTTTTTTTCTGACTCTTGGCCATATGTATTGTGAATATAGTGTATGTGGTAGCACCAACAACTCAGAATATATAATCTGATATTTGAACTGTTTTATTTTGTTCCTTATATAAATAATCTGTTGACACATTATACAACTAAAGCGTACAGTGATTTTTAAATGTAGAATTTATTTTTAATATTTATATTTAGTGTATAAAGTGGGTCCATAACTATAGAGAATTTTGAAACAAAAGTACAAAGGTAAAGAGAATAAAACAATAAAAATAGGAAATACAGGAAGTGTTTACTTATAGGTTGTGTTTAAAAAGACAAGAGTAGTTAAGGTTTATATAATTTTTTTTTAAAAAAGTTCTCAGAGTAGAAAATTACATGTTAGGATTTTTATTTTATTTATTTTTTGGTACTGGGGATGGAATTCAGGGATGCTTCACCACTGACTATAGCTCCAGCCCTATTTATGTTTCATTTTGAGACAGGATCTTACCAAGTTCCCAAGGCTAGTCTAGAACTCAAGGTCTTCCCACTTCAGCTTCCCAAGTTGCCAGAATACATACCTCATACAGCATATGTTAGAATTTTGATGCATTTTCTCTCTGATATTTATTTTTGTATGCCCTTTTTAATATGTTTAACATGTGGGTTAATCATAATGAAAATACTTTTAACTGTGTGTTCCAACAGTTTGGAGCAACTGTGTTTACCTAACAGTATGTTCTGAGCATTTTCCAGTATTATTAAGTTAGCTTCTAAAGAAAGATTTCTGTTAAGGTGGTGGTTGCCCAGGGGTACTCTATCACTGAGATACATTCCCAGCATTTTTAAATTTTTTATTTTGAGACAGGGTCTCATTAGGATGCCCTAGCTGGCCCAAACTTGTGATCTTCCTACCTTAACCTAAAGAGTCACTAGGATTACAGGAGGGGGCAACCATGCCCAGCTCTTAAAAATAATTTTTAATGTCTGCATAATAGCTTGCCTTATAGATACCCATAATATATTTACTCATTTGTGGCTGTTTTTCACTATTATTAAAACAGATTGGTGAACAATATTGCTTATAAATCTTTAACTGCATTTCTTAGAATAAATCTCTGGAAAAGGGTTCATTGGGCCATGTTACAAATGTTTTTAATTCTTTTGATAAGTATGGCTGAATTGTTTATAGGGCAATGGAACTAAGTGATGATAACACTGTCAATTGTTGCCTCAAGATGTATAAAAATAAACTTATATTCAGATGATTTTTTTTCTTGGAATTATAGTCATCTGAAATTTTAGAAATAATAAGAATTGATCAAGATGATAGATGATTATTTCATCCCTAATCAATTGAATACTCTAATTCACCTCTAATCACGTGAATTTGTCCCCCCCCCCCTTTTTTTTTTGGTGGTGCTGGGGTTTGAACTCAGGAATTTGTCTTTGAAAAGACAAAAATTTCATTTATGATAGTACCTACAATTATATAAATATATCTAAAGAAACTAATTTGAGGCATTTATTTTGTTCCTATTTGGTAGGAGTTTATACCATGTGGGCAGCTACTGCTTAAAATAAAATGAATGTAATTTAATTCTATCCAAAAGAGTAAATATTTGAGAATAGAAAGTTGAAGACTTATTTTTTAAAAAGAAGAATAAATGGGGATAGAGAAGAATGACTTGCTACATGATAAAACCTACTATTAAGAAAATACAGATTAAACTTGAAAACACTAGGAAAAGAGTAGGTGGTAAAACAGTAAACAGGCTAGACAGTCTTGAATGTATTGAATTCCCACCCAGTTTCTTCAAGTCCACAGCTAGGTATGGTGGCACATTTCTGTAATCCCAATGGCTTTGGAGACTGAGGCAGGAGAATCACAAGTTTAAAGCCTAACTTTGCTTAGACCTTAAGCAACTCATCAAGACCCTGTCTCCAAATGAAATATAAAAAAGGGTCTGGGGATGTGGCTCAGTGGTTGAGTGACCCTGGTTCAATCCCTGGTACAAAAAACAAAAGGTCACAGTGCCTTTTAGATGCCTGAATTTTGATGTTTGATCATAAGCTGCAAAATCAATATTTTGATTCACTATACAGAAGTGCTGTGTAGTGGCCAGTGGTTCACTTTTAACAGCCATTGCCATACTTTACAGCTGTTTGTAAAATTGTTTGACCTGGTAAATATCTTCTCTGAATACACACTACTTTTTGTGTACATACTTCTATTAATTGCAAGTATTTGTTGAATGCCTACTATGCTCTAGGCATAACGATATCATGAGGAACAAAACACAAGATCATTGGACTCCTGTAGTTGATATTCTGATGGGGCAAATGTTAATAATGTACAAGTGAAACTTGAAATACGTTGTTCTATGTGTAGAGAAGTATAATTGGATGATGATGAGATAGAATGACAATATGGTTTCTTTAGATTCCGTGTTCAGGGAAACACCCTTTACTATTATGACGCTAATGTTTAACTAAAGAAGGAGTCAACCATTCTAAGAATGGCTTTTCCAAATAGGGAAAAGGTAGTGGTAAGTTATTAATGCAAGAATAAATTTCACATGTTCAGTGAACAGAAAAAAAGGACCACTATAGCTAGAGATTAAAATGGAAGAATATTACAAGATTGGCTGGGACTTAGATCACGAAAGGCTTTTGTAAGCTGATCTGAAGAATTTGTATTTTATATTAATGGAATAGAAGACTTCTAAGAATTTTAGGTAGGGAAGTGTTATTCTCTGAAATATAATCTTTTTTTAAACAATATCTTTGTTTATTTAGTTTTATGTGGTGCTGGGGATGGAACCCAGTGCCTCATGTGCTAGGCAAGTGCTCTACCACTGAGCTACAACCTCAGCTCCGTGAAATATAACTTTTTATATATAGAATGGCTTTTCCAAATAGGGAAGAGGTAGTGGTAAGTTATTAATGCAA